CCCCCACCCCCCCCCCCCCCCCCCCCCCCAACCTAACCTAACTTAAGGAGAAACACAATATCCCTAGGGGGTACAGTCACCTGGGCAACCCTACGCACTGCGTACGGTTAACTGTGTCCGATGGGCAAGTGTAAGCGGAATAGGTCTAACCTCAGGCAGCGTTAGACTTAGCATGTACTGCATCACTAGATATTAAAGTCAACTTACACTTTTTCAAGAACGATTCCCTTGGCATGAGAAGCACCTTGGAAGGGATTAGCCTTCCACCTCGTGCCAAGATGGGCCTTCTTGTAATCCTTGTCGTGCCAGCGTTGATCTCGCCGATGGTTCACGTGCTTCCTCGCCGTACGTAGACCCTTGGGCTTCCCTGCAATACAGCAAAATCAGAATGAAATCAGGCTTTGAAATCGCGGATTTATGCGCAGGAGAAAATAAAGGAAGAGATGTAGGTCGAATGTTAGGCCTGATAAATGCTAACGCACCCATTCTGTCAGGAGAAAATTGCCGATCACCACGACCCCACGGCCACCATTACAGAGAAGGAAGGACGGAAGAGACTGCCAGTGTTGTCGGATAACCCCCCTGATTCACACTCCACCTGGCAGTAGCCAGCATGATTTTAATTTACACGTTCGGCCGGGCTTGCATTCCCTGTTCGTGACACTTGCCTTTACCATCTCACAGCTAACCCACACCAGTCAACACATTTGCAGGCCCCTCTTGCACCGAATGACCGCTGGGCTGGAGGAGTGAGGGAAACTGGGATAAATTATACAAATTCCAACCAAAATCCGCCCCTCGCTTGCGTTTCGAAATTGATTCCCAGCAAACAAGGCAGCATTGTATCAACGTTCCAAACGTTTATTCCATGTTGATTCATCGTTGATTCAACGTTTTGCCTTCAAATTATTTGCTGAGTTGTTTTGGGATCTATACCCACTCGAGAGGAAAATAAACACACGGTCCATTCACGTTTTGAGACTAGATATTGATGTAATTTGGCTGAATCAGGCAGATTATATTTCTATTTACGTAAATTTCGTAAAGGAGGCGGGTTTTACAGCAGGGTCGGAATTTGTCTCACCTTAATTACATTAATTTCTTTTACACCATGTGACAGACTAAGAAATAGAATAGAATCGTAATATTCGACTCATTTTTCACCTGTGAGACCAGATATTTTCCCAAGTAGTCCGATTAGACCACGTCGCGCCCGCTCACAGTGTGAGAGGGTATATCACGTTTGGATCGTATACTTATTCTCAGCACCATACCGAGAGTACTTGGGGTAGAGGCTCCATTTGCTTTCGGCGAAATATATCTAGCTCCTCTCTTGTATATACCATACGACCCATGCTACCCCATGCTACGCATTGCTATCATCTTCTGTACTTTCGTCTACCGTGTCTACACCATGCTACCCCATGCTACCCATTGCTACCATCTTTTGTAATTTCTTCTACCGTGTCTGCACCATGCTACTCCATGCTACCCATTGCTACTCTCC